GAAGCAATGCTGTAATAGTACCAATTTGTAACTTATCTCAGGCCAACCTCTGGACCATCTGTGGACCAGACTGGCCTGGCTACATAGTGTTCACCCAGTATATTCAAGAGGTAATAGCTGTCTTTACTGACAGGTTATAGAAGCATAGGATTTCCCTGGGAAATTTCTCTAATGCAGAGCAGTAGCATGTAGGGGAGGGGAAAGTCAATACTGAGGTTTTTTATTCATTCCATTCATTCTTTCAACAAATGTTGAGCAGATGTGCCAGGCTCCATGCTAGAGGCTGTGGGTCACCCTGGAGAGCGGGAACAGTGTATCGTTCACCATTATATCCTAACATCTAGCACCATGGATAAACACATAACTGGCAAAGTGATAAGAACGGGCAAAACAAAGACTTATTTGGCAGCAATTGCAAAGCAAGGTGAGGAAGACCCAGATTTTGGAGCTGAGTTAAGCTGCCTAGGGAAACAGCATGAGCAAAAGCAGAAAGGTAGGTGATAAGAGCATGTTCACAAGACAGTAGGCAGTGCGGTGTGGCTGCACTGGAGTGAGAGATGGATTGATTGACAAGTGATGACTGGACTTGGTAGGAAGGACCTTGAAAGCTTAGTGGAGGCATTTGGATTTTACCCCCTAGTGCATGAGGATCTACTGAAGGTTAAAAAAGAAACAAAAAACTTTATTGAGGAATAATTTACATACCATAAAATTCATTCATTCAAAGTGTACAATTCAATGATTTTTAGTAAACTTACCAGGTTTTGCAACCATCACCATAATCCAGCTTTAGAACATTTCTGTCACTCCAATAAGACCCCTCATGCTCATTTACAGTTAATTCCAGTTCCTACCCTCAGGCCTAGGCAACCACTAATCTACTTTCTGTTTCTATAGATTTGATTTTTAGTACTTTTTCTATAAATGGAATCATATAATATGTGTTCTTTTGTGTCTGGCTTCTTTCACTAAGCATAGTGTTTTTGAAGTTTACCCATGTTGTAGTGTGTATCATTACTTCATTCCCCTTAACTGATAAATAATACTCCATTGTATAAATATAACACATTTTGTCTATATACCAGTTGTTGGACATTTGGGTTGTTTCCATTTTTTGGCTATTGTGAATAATGCAGCTATGAATATTTGTATACAAGTCTTTGTATAGAAATGTTTTATTTTTCTTGGGTATATACCTAGGAATGAAATTGCTTGCTGGGTCATACAGTAACTCTATGTTTAACTTTTTAAGAAACTGCCAAGCTGTTTTCCAAAGTGGCTACACTATTTTACATTCTCATCACCAACGTATGAGGGTTCCAGTTTCTCCCTATCCTTACCAACACTTGTTATTGTCTATCTTTTTTTTATTATAGCCATTCTATGTGACTATATTCTCAGTGGGTGTAAGGAGTCCCCAGATGGCATGAAAGGTTAAGAGGTTGGCTGCTAACTGAAAGGTTGAAGGTTTGAATCTACCCAGAGGTGTCTCAGAAGAAAGGCCTAGAAATCTACTTCTGAAAGGTCACAGCCATTGAAAAGCCTATGGAGCACAGTTCTACTCTAAAACACTTGGGGTCACCATGAGGCGGAATTGACTTGACGGCAACTAGTGCAGTGGTGAGTAGTATGAAGTGGTATCTCATTATGGTTTTAATTTTTATTTTCTTAATGACTAATTGTCTTAGTTATCTAGTGCTGCTGTAACAGAAATGCCACAAGTGGATGGCTTTAACAAACAGAAATTTATTCTTTCACAGTTTAGGAAGCTAGAAGTCCAAATTCAGGGTGCCAGTGCTCTAGTGGAAGGCATTCTCTCTGTTGTCTGTAGGGAAAGATCCTTGTTTCCTTTCAACATCTGTGGGCCCAGCTTTCCTTGGAAATCTCCTTGTGTCTCGGCATCAATCTTCCCCTGGGTCTAGGAGGTTCTTAACACAGGGACCCTGGGTCCAGAGAACACACTTTGCTCTTGGCTCTTCTTTCTTGGTGGCAATGTGTCCCTCCTTTTCTGCTCTCTCTCTCTCTCTCCTTTTGTCTCTTGTAAGATAGAAGGTGATGCAGGCCACACCCCAGGGAAACTCCCCTTACATCAGATCAGGGCTGTGACCTGAGTAAGGGTGTTGTATCCTACCCTAATCCTCATTAACATGACCTAATCCTACCTCATTAACGTAACGGACAGCTCACTCCCAAATGGGACCATAACCACAGGCATAGAGGGTAGAATTTATAACACATCACAAAATGGAGACTAATCAGATCACAAAATGGAAGACAACCACACAATACTGGGAATCACAGTATGATGGTTAAGATTGTGTGTCAACTTGGCTGGGCCATGATTCTCAGTGTTTATATGTGATCACTCCCATGATTGAATATGCTATGAGTAACCAGTCAGATGAAAGGGAGTTTCCTTGGGGGTGTTGCCTGCATCTGAATATAAGCAGATGGTCTGGCTTTTTGCCAATCTGGATCCTGCGGCTGCCTCCTGTCATCTCACCTCTGGTTCTTGTGACTTGAGCTGCCACCTTATCTGCCAAGGTTGGGATTTGTTGATCTTCACAGTCTGTGAGCAGAGCTCTGATCTCTAACCTGTTGATCTTGAGTTCCCCACCTCCTGCAGCTATGTGAATCAGGAGAAACATTATGGTCTTGCCTACTGATCTTGGAATTCGTCAACCTTCACAGCCTGTGAGCGGGAGCCCTGCTCTCTGAACTGTCGATCTTGGGCTCACCAGCTTCTGTGGCTGCGTGAATTGGGAGAAACCTCTACCCTGATCCACGGACTTGGGTCTAACCTCTGCAATCACATGAGCTGTTTCCTTGATATAAATCTCTCTCTGTATATATTTATACGCTTTACCGGTTTTGCTTCCCTAGAGAACCCAGCCTAAGACACTATCTATCTATCTATCTATCTGAAGAGAGAAAGAGATGTGTATATGTATCTTATTGGTTCTGTTTCTCTGGAGAATCCTAAGACAGAATTTGGTACCGGGAGTGGGGTGCTGCTCTAACAAATACCTAAAATATGGAAGTGGTTTTGAAACTGTGAATGGATAGAGGAGCGGCAGCAGCAGAGGAACAGAAGTGGCAGAGAACCAGCAGCAGCAGAAACAGAAGACCAGCGTGAGACAGCACTGGAGTCAACCCATGGAGCAAGAGAGCTGAGTGCCTGTGTGCAGGAGGCTTCCTGGTGGAGTAGGGTGCCTCCAGGCACTTATTGGTGGAGCTAGGCTTACCGACCCACAGAGCAAGAGAGCTGAATGCCCGTGCACAAGCGGCTTCCTGGCGGAGTGGGGTGCCTCCAGGCACTTAATTGGTGGAGCTACTGAGCTTTGGAACACTTGCCTCAGCAGCGCAGATGCGGGTGTGAGGCCCGAAGGCCAGAAAGCCACAGGAAGCAGAAGCTGAAGAGACAAGGAACACAAGAAGCCAAGCTGCCTCAGTCTCAAAAGGTATGGCCGTGACCTCTGGGGTTCCAAAGGGTGGATCCATGCTGTCTGGTGTTTCTAAGGGTGGAGTTGTCACTCCGATGGACTAGGAGAATGGTGCACCTAAAGCTGAGGGAGCAGAGTTGCTGTCCCAGTGGGCCTGGAAGGTGGAGCAGAAGCCCAGGGCCGAGGGGCCTCCACTCAGAATCCGGAGACTGTAGCCAATACCTAGAGTCTAGAGGGCAGGGCTATTGTGTGAATGGTCTCAGAGAACAGAGCATTATTTTCAAAGCCTTGAGGGCTAATGTAATGTGTTCTGCTGACTTGCTTGGTGCCTGTTATGCCTTCTTTCCCTGCAGTTTCTCGCATTTGTAATGGAAATGTCTAGCTTGTGCCTATTCTGCCATTGTACCTTTGGAAGCAGATAACTTGTATTCTAGATTTCATCGATGAAGAAGAATTTTTGGATTTTGGACTTGGAGTTAAGACTTTTGCTGTGATATGACGAGATGAATATGTTTTGCATGTTGCAAGGGCATGAATTTTTGGGGGCTAAAGGGTGGAGTGTCATGGATTGAAATGTGTTCCCCAGAAATGTCTGTCAGCTTGGCTGAGTCATGATTCCCAGTATTGTGTGGTTGTGTACTGTTTCGTGATCTGATATGATTTCCTTTTGTGTTGTGAATTCAATCACTATAATCTAATGGGATGGATTGGATGAGGTCTACAAGATTGGATAGTGTCTTGAGCTGATCTCTTTTGAGATATAGAGGGGAGAAGTGAGCAGAGACACATGGGAACCTCATACCACCAAGAGGGCAGTACTGGGAGCGGAGCGCATCCTTTGGACCTGAAGTTCCTGTGCTGAGATGCTCCCAGACCAAGGGAAGATGACTGATGCATCACAAGGACCTTCCTTCAGAGCTGACAGAGAGAGAAAGCCGTCCTCTGGAGCTGACGCCCTAAATTTGGACTTGTAGCCTACTGGACTGTGAGAGAATAAATTTCTCTTTGTTAAGGCCATCAGCTTGTGGTATTTCTGTTATAGCAGCACTAGATGACTAAGACACATGGCATAGCCAAATTGACACATATTCTGGGGGGACGCAGTTCAATCCATGACACAAATGATGTTAAGCATATTTGCATGCACTTATTAGCTATTCATGTATCTTCTTTGGTAGCATATCTATTCAAATATTTTGGCCATTTTAAAATTGGGTTTCTTGTCTTCTTATTGTTTTGCAAGAGTTCTTTATATATTTTAGAGATACCTTCAGATATCTTGCAAATAATTTCTTCTAGTCTTTGGCTAAACTTTTCACTTTCTTAATTGAATGGAAAAAAGGGACAAAACAAAGCAGTGCTTCAGAAAGATAGTTCTGGCAGCAGTACATGGGATAAATAGAAAGGGACAGAGGGATATATTTTAATATATCCCAAATGTTGTAATATACAGAATAGCCATAGGCCAATTTCCTAAAATTCTCCAGGAAACAAAGGGTTATAAGCAGCTGTTTATTGAAAGCTGTTTACAGTCTAGTTAATCAGTGAACCAGAATCAGTGAAACTAGTCAGTCTGGGGAAGTATATTTGAAAGGTTTTCCTGGATTAGGAGAAGAAAAGAAATGGGGGAGGGGAGATAAGGAGCTATTCCAAGAGCTACATAAATAATTTCCAGCTTTGAACGGGGCAGTTCTGAACTCCTTTCTCAGGTGCTGTTGCACTGATGTTTCCTGGTGGGAAACTAGAAAAAACTTGTTCTTGGGCCCTTGGATTTTGACTGGTGAAGAGGCCAGGTTGTTTGGAGAGGGGGGGCTCATTTCAGTGGCTCTCTTTGAAAAAGCCCAGCAAGATGTCAGGTCTGCTCTCAGTCTTCCTCCACCTCCTCCTTCTCTTCAAGTTGGCTGCCCTGGTGACCTTTCGCCACCACCACTATGATGACCTCATGCGGATGCTGTACAAGGTGCACAATGAATGCCCCTACATCACTCGGATTTACAGCATTGGGCGCAGTGTGAAAGGGAGACACCTCTACGTGTTGGAATTCAGCGACTACCCTGGAATCCATGAGCCCTGTAAGTCCTGAGCAGTGCTTGGGGTGTGTGGGCAGGACCCTCTCTACAAATCCAGTAACTGGGGTGGTTTCTAAGGAGGTCTTTGGAATCTTACATTTGTAAAATATTATCTCTTCCTCAACCTATGCTAAATATTCCCTATTTAACCCTCAAACTGCCCCTACCTCGAGAGACCCCCAACCCCAATTCAGGCTCCAGTATGTCCCTCCTTTTTGAGTTACGTTTGCCCAAGACCTTAATAGTAAGAGGTGAGTTTTCTTCCCTGCCCTCCTCTCATCACCCTTCCTTCCCGTCTATCTCTCTTCTTCTCCCCCCTTTGTTATGATTCTGTCTTTCCATATCCAATGCTTCAGGGATATAAACAGAAACAATTAACCCTTCTAGTTCTGCCAGGAGTAACTCTTCAGAGAATGACAGTATCATAGAGTATGATACCCTGGGGAGAGTTTGAGGCCTAGTGCATTAGTTTTATCTATTGGCTACTCTTTTGTTAGTTTGTTTCCATTATAAAAGCAATCCATATTTACATTAAAAATTAGAAAATAGATAAGAAAAAGAAAAGAAAAAAGAAACTCACCCATAATCCCACCACTCACAGGTAACCACTGTTTACATATTGAAAAATAGCTTCTAGACCTTTTTCAATGCATATTTAACACCCTTCACACACACATCTAATTGTTATAAAATGAAACCAAGGATTTTTTTTATTTCATAGTCTATTATGAATATCAGCCCTATCTGAAATTGTAGACCTGCTATGTCACTTTTTGGGATGTATTTAACCATTTCTTTCTTGATGGACGTTTATTTAAGTCGTTTCTAATTTCTCACTGCTTTACTTGAAGTAACTGTGACGTTCAAGTTATGTCAGTTCCTCCTTCAAACTGTCAACCTCAAATCTCCCTCTTCTGCTCCACTTCCACACCCCCACCCTAACCCAGACTCTGTCACAACCTACCTAAACAATTGCACTGCACTCCTAACTGAACTCCATGCCTCCACTCTCTGAACTGTCCACTCCATTTGGTACAAAACACTAGAATAATTTTCCTAAATACCAGTATAATCTTCTCATCCCCTGCTTAAACACCTACAGTGACAACCTTACACCCAGTAGGTTCTGGCCATGGGAGCATCAGAATATAACACAAGAGGGGCTCAGGGAAGGCTGTTTGGTTGGAAATGGGATTGAGGGCTTTGCTTTGAAGCACCTGCTTTTACTTAGATTGTACATTCGTTGTAGAAGCTATAGATGGAAGCTAATGGACAGTAAGGGGTTAGCCTTCCAGCCCCTGCCCCCTTCTTGGTGCTCCCTCTACTTTCTAGCATTCAAGGCCTTCCTTGAAGCTTTCTCACACTGTTTTAGTCCTCACTGACCCTTCTATTCTCTGAAGCCCCATAACTTTAGCTGTTCATCCATTTATTCCTTTCATTCATTCATTCCACAAATATTTAGTGATCATCGACTATATGCAGGCACTTTTGTAGGCTCTGGGTATACAACAGAGAATAAAACAAAGGCCCGGCCCTCATGAGCCTTAATTCTAGTGGTATAAGACAGACAATAAATGGGTAACTAAGTAAATAAAAAAGAAGCCCTGGTCGTGCAATGGTTAAACACTTGGCTGCTAACCTAAAGACTGACAGTTAGAACCTACCCAGATGCTCTGCGGGAGAAAGACTGGGTGATCTGCTTCCATAAAGATCACAGCCTAGAAAACCCTATGGGGCAGAAAACCCCTACTCTGTCATATGGGGTTACTATGAGTCGGAATTGACTTGATGGCACCCAACAAAAACAATTAAATATATATGTTATATCTGATGGAAATAAGAGCTATGGAGAAAATTAAATCAGGACAGAGAGATAGAGAATGTCATAGGGATACATTGCGGGGTTGGGGGCGGGGGTGGTCATTGCTGCTCAGGAAAGTCCTCTCCACCGAGGTGACTTTGGGACAAAGATCTGAAGGATGTGGAGTGTCAAGCCATGCTGGTATGGGGGAGGAAAACACTGCAGACAAAGAGAAGCACAAATGCAACACTCCAGGGGCAGGACATGCTTAGCATGTGTGAGGAGTGGAAAGGAAGCCACTGCTCTGCAGCTGAGTGAACAAGGGAAGAGTAGAGATGAGCAGTGTGGTAGGGGACACCACGAAGCAGGAGACCTTTTAGGCTTTGGTAAAGATCTTGGCAGTTACTGTGAGTGAAGTAAGAGCCACTGGAGGGTTTTGAGCAGATGAGTGACGTTAACTGACTTAAATTTTAAAAAGATCACTCAGCCAACCACAACCTGAGGACTGGCCACTTATTTTGCTAAATAAAGTTTTATTGGAACACAGCCATGCCCATTCATTTTTGTATCATCTAGAGATGCCTCAAAAGAAATTACCATTTCAATTAGCCATTGAAAATGCTATGGAGTGCAGTTCTACTCTGACACACAGGGAGTCGCCATGAGTCACAGTTGACTCAATGGCAACTGGTTATGGCTACTTTCACCAGCAGAGCTGAATAGCTGCAACAGAGACCATAGGGCCTGCAAGGGCTAAAATATTTACTGTCTGGCCCTTTACAGAAAAAATTTTCTGACTCTTGACTCAGGAGAATAGAACTTAATGGGACTGGGTAGATGCAAGGAGACTACAAAATAAAAACCCAAACCTGTTGCCGTTGAGTTGATTCTGACTCATAGCAACACTAAGTAGGAGATTTATTGCAATAATACAGGCGTGAGAGCATGGGGCTTGAACCAAAAGGATAGCAGTGGTTGTTATGAGAAGTAATTGTATTCTAGATATATTTAAAGTAGAGCCGAAATAATTTGATGTTGAGTACCTACTAACTGCAAGGCGCTATGCTAGGTTTTATAGGGCAGTGGTTCCCAGACTTTTGGATTTCACAGTGAAGTGAAAAAAAAAAAAAGTTTTTAATAAATGAGAGGTTGGGAGGGACTAACATGGGTTTTCCAATTTTTATTTTACTGAATAAGGATGTTGAAGAAAACTACCTGCCATCTATTGTTACCACCCTTTCCTAAAACAAAGGACATTTCCTACCAAGAAAAGTAGAAAAGATATAACCTAAGATTAATAAAATACACTAAGATTAAAAAATACACATTAGGCAAAATCCACTACATGATACTGTAGATTACAAACATTCCTTTGGGAAAGATTGCCGTGGATATACTAAGAGAAATACAATGGTTTATGTCCTAGTGTATATTAAAAATTGTATACATTCCTAAGGCCAGGTCCAATAAAGGAAATGGAACATGTGGAAATAAAGGTAAAACCCAGAGCAGAAAGTGGTAAGGACCATAAAGGAAAGTTAAACAGAGAGCTCACTTTAGCAGTGAGAATCCAAGATGGCTTCCCGGAATACGTCACATTTGAACTGGCCTAGAAGGATGGTGAGGAGGATTTGGACATGAGGAGATGAAGAGGTACAGAGTCAGAAAAGTCATGGAAGCAGGGAAATGTTGGGTGGAAGGGAAATCACTTCCTTTTCAAAGGGGAGTGTCTTAGTTATCTTGTGCTACTATAACGAAAATACCACAAGTGGATGGCTTAAGCAAACAGAAATTAATTTTCTCACAGTTTAGGAGGCTAAAAGTCTGAATTCAGGGTGCTGTCTCTATAGAAAGACTTTCTGTCTCTGTTGGGTCTGGAGGAAGGTCTTTGTCTCTTCTGAGTTTCTACTCCTAGGCAATCTTCATGTGGCTTGGCATCTCTCTTCCTCCATCTCTTTCTCTCTGCTCGCTTGTTTAATCTCCTTTATATCCCAAAAGAGATTGACTCAAAATATGCCCTACACTAACAAAGACAACCCATTCCCAAATGGGATTATAACCACAGGCATAGAGGTTAGGATTTACAACACACACGCATATATATATATTTTTTTTTTCTTTATTGGGCTTTAGATGAAGGTTTACAGAGCAAATTAGTTTCCGAATAAACAATTAATACACATGTTGTTTTGTGACATTGGTTGCCAACCCCGTGACATGTCAAAACTCTCCCCTTCTTGACCTCAGGTTCCCCATTTCCATTCCTACAGCTTTCCTGTCCCCTCCTGCCTTCTTGTCCTTGCCCCTGGGCTGATGTGCCCATTTAGTCTCATACATGGTTGAGCTACAAGTATTATTGTTTGTTTTATGGGCCTGTCTAATCTTTGGCTGAAGAGTGAACCTCAGGAATGACTTCAACACTGAGTTAAAAGAGTCTCTAGGGGCCGTACTCTCAGGTTTTCTCCAGTCTCTGTCAGAGACTGTGAGTTAGAATTTTGTTCTACATTTTTCTCCAGCTCTGTCCAGGGCCCTCTACTGTGATCCCTCTCAGAGCAGTCAGTGGTGGTAGCCAGGCACCATCTAGATGTGCTGGACTCAGTCTGGTAGAGGCTGTGGTAGTTGTGGTCTATTAGTCCTTTTGGACTAATCTTTTCCTGTGTCTTTGGTTCTCTTCATTCTCCCTTGCTCCAGACAGGGTGGGAACAGTGGAGTATCTTAGATCGCCGCTCACAAGCTTTTATGACCCCAAATGCTACTCACATAAGTAGGACGTATAACATTTTCTTTATAAACTATGTTATACTTATTGAGCTAGATATCCCCTGAGACCATGGTCCCCAGCCCTTAGCCCAGTAACTCCATCTCTCAAGGGGTCTGGATGTGTCTATGAAGCTTCTATGACTTTGGTCAACTTGTGCTGACTTCCCCAGTATTGTGTAGTGTCTTACCCTTTACCAAAGTTACCACTTAACTATTGTCTAGTTAGTGTTTTTCCCTCCCCATCCCTCCCCAACCCTCACCTCCCCTCCCTCATAACCATCAAAGATTGTTTCTTTTGTGTGTGTAAACCTTTTCATGAGTTTTTATAACAGTGGTCTTATACAGTATTTGTCCTTTTGTGATTGACTTATTTCACTCAGTGTAATGCCCTCCAGATTCATCCATGTTGTGAGATGCTTTGCAGATTCATCATTGTTCTTTATCGTTGTGTCGTATTCCATTGTGTGTATGTACCATAGTTTTTCAATCCATTTATTTGCTGATGGGCACTTAGGTTGTTTCTATTTTTTTGCTACTGTGAATAATGTTGCAATGAACATGGATGTGCATATGTCTATTCATACAACACATATTTTGGGGGGACATAATTCAATCCATAATACTCCACCCTTTGGCCCCCTAAAATTCATGTTCTTGCCACATTCAAAACACGTTCACCCCATTACATCATCTCAAAAGTCTTAAATCAACTCTAAGTCCAAAATCTCATCTTCTGAATCATCTAAATCAAACCTGGGTGAGGCTTTAGGTATATTCCGTCCTGGGGCAAAATTTCTCTTCATCTCTGAACCTATGAAATCTAGAATACAAGTTACCTGTTTCTAAAGTACAGTGGTGGAACAGGTACGACTAGACATTTCCATTACAAATGGGAAAAGTTGGAAGGAAAGAAGGGATAATAAACACCAAGCTAGTCAAAAACCAGAAGAACAAATTACATGAGCTCTCAAGTCTTGAAAATAATCCTCTCTTCTCTGAGATCATCTGGGCAATGGCCCCACCTTCCAGACTCTTGGTGTTGGCCCTGCCCTCTGGATTCTGGGTGGAGGCCCTCAGTCCTGGTCTTCAGCTCTGCCTTCCAGGCCCTCTGGGATGGCAAATCTGCTCCCTCTGCTTTAGGCGGCCCCATTTTCCTAGTCTAGCTGAGTGGCAACCCTAACCCTCTGCCCTGGCAGGCCCCGTTCCTCTACCCCTTGGGCATGGCAGCCCCGCCCCTTCAGCTTTGGGCAGTGGCCCCATCCTCCTGGCACATCTTAAAGGTAGCCCCACACTCCCGAACTGAGTTGGCAAAAATTTGACTCTTTGAACCTAGGAGGCTGTGGCCCCATCCTTTGAAAACAAGAAGGCCCTGCTTCCTGTGCTCCTTCCAACAGTTCTGCTGATCTCTGCCCAGCTGCTCCAGGGATGATCCTTTTCTTTTCTTAGAGGACAATGGATATAGCTCCTTTGGCCTGTTTCCTGCCTATAGAATTCCAAGAAGCAGACAGTGTTCTTTCCTTTCATTCTCTCTTTGTCCCCTTCAGTCTAAGCTGATGGGTTTTCTGCTGTGGTACTTGGTTAGATCTATCAGTCACAGGCTTAATCTTTTAAGAAAGGATTGTTTAGCCATGTCCTTGGTGAACATTCTAGGACACATGTCCTTGGTTTGTACAACATAATTTTCCAAATCTTTAAGTGCTGTTTTCAATTTACACAGTTCATTTTTAAGTCCATCTCTTCCCTCTCACATTTTACTATAAGCAACAAGGAGAAACCACATGGCTCCTTTAAGATCTTGCTTAGAAATCTTGTCAGCCAGATATCCAAGTGCATCACTTACAAGTTCTACCTTCCACCAAACGTTTGAACATAATTCAGACAAGTTCTTTGCCACTGCGTAAAAAGCATCACCCTTCCTCGATTGTCCAATCACATGTTCATCATTTTCTTCTAAAGCTTCACCAGAAGCACATTTAATGTCCACATTTCTAGCACCATTCTGTTGCTGGCTCCATATGTATTCTCTAAGACCATAGAGACTTTCTCTATAGCTCTCCACACTTCCTTCAGAGCCCTTACCAGGATTGCCTTTGATGTCCATAATTCTACTGACGGTCTCTTCAAGTAAATCTAGGCTTTTACTATTAAAAACCCTATGCCATCTAGTCGATTCTGACTCATAGGGATCCTTCAGGACAGAGTAGAACTGCCCCATAGGGTTTCCAAGGAGTGGTTGGTGGATTCCAACTGCTGACGTTTTGGTTAGCAGCCAAACACTTAACCACTGTGCCACCAGGGCCCCGGGCCCATTACCCAATTTCAAACCACTTCCATATTTTAGGTATCTGTTACAGCAGCACCCCCACTTCTTGGTACCAAATTCTGTCTTAGTTATCTAGTGCTGCTATAACAGAAATACCACAAGTGGATGGCTTTAACAAATAGAAATTAATTTTCTCACAGTTTAGAAGCTGGAAATCCAAGTTCAGGGTGCTGGCTCTACAGGAAGGTTTTTCTCTGTTGGCTCTGGATGAACATCCTTGTCTCTTCTGAGCTTCTGCTCCTGGGCAGTCTTCCTGTGGTTTGGTATTTCTCTTTCCTCATCTCTCTCTTTGTTTGCTTGTTTAATTTCTTTTATATCTCAAAAGAGATTGACTCAACATACACCTTACACTAATCCTGCCTCATTAACATAACAAAGACAACCAATTCCCAAATGGGATCATAACCACAGGCATAGAGGTTAGGATTTACAATACATATTTTTGGGGGACAGAATTCAATCCATAACAGGGAGCAAGAATGATTTTCTATGAGTGGTTCTCGAGTCTCTTTTCGGAGCCTCAATTCTCACCTCAGTTGAACAGTCAATGTGGCCAAAGAGAAGACTAAGGAATGAGACACAAGTAGACTCCTTCCTACTTCAGGACATAATGTTCTCTGATATGAAGAAAAGATCTTAGTTCCCTGACAGCCAGTAAAGTTAAGTTCTCAACTGGAATGACTAGGAACTATTATGCTATAACCTAGAGACTTTATGGGAGCAGATCTTGGGAAAACACAATCCTGAAAAGATTTATCTCTGAGAAGTGGTACAGCTCTGTGAATGGTACATGAGCTTTGACCGCTATCATATTAGTTGGGTGACCCCAGGCAAGTCACTTAACCTCTTTGATTCCCAGGGCCCTCATCCCCAGGCTAATAATGCCTACTTTACAGGTTTTCTTTGAAGATTAGAAAATAAACATAAAATGCCTCCAGAAAAAAAAAAAAAAACAAACCCATTGCCATCCAGTCGATCCTGACTCATAGTGACCCTATAGGACAGAGCAGAACTGCCGCATAGGGTTTCCAAGGAGTGCCTGGTGGATTCAAACTGCTGACCTTTTGGTTAGCGCCGTAGCTCTTAACCACTGCACCACCAGGGTTTCCTTTGGTTAGCAGCAGAACTCTTAACCACTTCTCCACCAGGGTTTCCATATTTTACCTAGTACGAGGTAAAATCAGTTGCTGGAGATTCCAACTCATGGTGACCCCATCTGTGTCAGAGGAGAACTGTACTCCATAGGGATTTCAATGGCTCTCACTTTTGGGAGTATATTGCCAGGGCTTTGTTTCCAGATGCCTCTGAATAGATTTCAACTGGCAACCTTTTGGTCAGTAGCCACCATTTGCACCTCCCTGGGACTCCAGTACAGGGTAGGGGTTCAATAAACAGTAGTAATTATTATCTCTGGCATGAATTTTATGGCATTTGTAATTACAATTAGTTGGGAATGGGACTCAAGGGTCATTGGAAAAGACTCAAGGGAAGCACAAAAAAAATTTTTTTTAATTCATTTCTTTAAAAGGAGAAAAAGTCCCTTTGCAAGGTGAGGAATTAGTGGCACCTCTAGGCGTTCTCCATCTTTTATCTTCCTGCGTGTGCGTTTCTCACGCCTGCAGTGGAACCAGAAGTTAAGTATGTCGGGAACATGCATGGCAACGAGGTGCTGGGCCGCGAGTTGCTGCTGCAACTGTCAGAGTTCCTGTGCGAGGAGTTCCGGAACGGGAATCAGCGGATCACCCGGCTCATCGAGGGCACGCGCATTCACATCCTGCCATCCATGAACCCGGATGGCTACGAAGTGGCCGCTGTTCAGGTACTGAGCCCGAAGGTGGCGCCGTGGAAACAGTAATGGCGTCTTAGGGAATAACGTAAAAGCCAGCAGACAATGTGTGCTATCTATTCCACTGTAAATGTCACTCAAAAATACAAGATAAAACAACCAAATACTACTTAACAGAGAAAAGACAAACAGAAATAAATAAAACAAAGTACGAAAACTTGCAGTTAACCCTGTAACACTTTAGGCAATGAATGTTGGCTCTCTCTGCGCCTCATTTCCCTCAACACCACTCCAGCTGATCTCACGGCTTGGTTATGAGGGTTTTGTTGTGAGAATCAATGAGGCAATATCTGTGACAACACCTTGTAAACTGGAAAATACTAAACAAATACAAGGAAGTATTGCAAAATACTCCGGTTCAATGAACTTTGAGCTCTGAACCCTGCATACCCTTCTTTCTCCCACACGTTATGTCCAGTTCCATTTTGGGAGGAAATATTAGGGAGCGCAAGCTTTTCCCAGAACTGGGGGGTGGAGGTTAATAGTAGATTCTTCATTCTTTATTATATTTTTGTAGGGTTTTTTCCTCTACTAGTGTAGTACTTAGCCTTTTCGTTCTTTTTTTTTATTTTGTTGTTGTTGTTTAGAATATACACAGCAAAACACACACCAATTCAACAGTTTCTACATGTACAATTCATGACATAGATTACATTTTTCCAGTTGTGCAACCATTCTTACCCTCCTTTTCTGAGTTGTTCCTCGCTCGTTAACATAAACTCACTGCGCTCCAAGGTTCTTATCTAATCTTTTGAGTTGCTCAGTCTTTTCATTCTTTATTTTTGAGTTACATTTATAGTAAGGAAGGAAAAAAGTTTATGAGCTTTTATTGTATTTCCTAAGATAAAATTCAAAATATCAGTATGCTTAACTTTATGGGGAGCTTTGGTGGCACAGCGGTTAAGAGCTCAGCTGCTCACAAAGAAGGTCAGCGGTTCGAATCCACTAGCTGCTCCTTGGAAACCCTATGGGGCAGTTCTACTCTGTCCTGTAGGGTCGCTATGAGTCAGAATCAACTCGATGGCGATGGGTTTTAACTTTATGGTTCTCTTTATGGCTGTGCATCAGAATCAGAAGATTTTTAAAATACACAGTCATCAAAGAGAACATTATGTCCAGTGAAAGAAGCCAGACGCGAAACACTAACTACTGTAGGATTCCATTTGTGTGAAATGTCCAGAATAGGCTAATCTATAAAGACAAAAAGTAGATTAGTGGTTGCCTAGGGATGGAGTGAAAATGAAGAGTGACTGAACAAGCATGAGGTTTCCTCCTAGAGTGATAGAAATGTTTTAAAATTAGATTGTGGTGATGGGTTGTACAACTTGGTAAACATACTAAAATTCATACAATTGTACTCTTAACGGGTGGATTTTATGGTATGTAAATTATAGCTCAATAAAGCTATCTTAAAACACACACACACACACACACACACACACACACACAGGGGTTTCCATTGTCCTGAAACACCTTACTCTTGTTGGAGCTTCTCCTGGGATTTTTACCTCCAGCACATGGTCTACCCAGGGAAACTTGAATCACACTGCTAGGATTTTGGATATGTTAAATAAAAAATTGCTACATCACTTGATAGATTAAACTAATGTCTGTTTATATATATATATATATATATATATATATATTCTTCAAATACGGTATTAAGTCTAAATCTTTCGTTTTCATCTTTGATTTCCCCTGAGGGCCCAGATAGTTCTGGGTATTTGCTTGGCAGGAACAATGCAAATGGAGTGGATCTGAACCGCAACTTCCCTGATCTCAACACCTACTTCTACTACAATGAGAAGAATGGAGGCCCCAACCACCACCTGCCCCTTCCAGACAACTGGAAAAGTCAGGTATGAAATGAGATTTGCACAGAGAAGCACAGTGTATCAGCATCTGGAATTTCTTCTAGCAATCTTCACACCAACTAAATAAGCAAGAATTAAGCACCAACTCAACTCCATATTAACTTGTTCAGAGCAATAATAACTGTACTTATGCCTCTTTGTACTTATTCTCTCCCCCAACGTACAGCCCGCCATGGAGCACATGCTCACTAAATGTTTGATGCTAGTGGAGGAGATGAAAGTGGTATTATATAGTTGCATGGTACTTTACAATTTACGAAGTTTTTTTTATAGCCCGTTTTTAGTTTTTGTAGTACCGTGTGGTGAACGCAGCAAGCAGTGTTATCTATCCCTATTTTATAGATATTATGCTTATAGATAAAATAATTTAAATTCACACAGATAGTAATTGAGAATCAGAATTAAAACCTGACTCCTAATCCAGTAATCTTTTCACTACACTATTCTGTTGACAAGCAGCCCTAGTGGCACGGTGGTTTAAGCTGCTAACCAAAAAATTGGTGGTTTGAACCCTCCAGCCTCTCTGAGGGAGAAAGATGTGGCAGTCTGCTTCCGTAAAGATTACAGACTTGGAAACCCTATAGATTGGAAATCCTATAGGGTCACTATGAGTCAGAATTGACTCAATGGCAATGAGTTTGGTTTTTGGTATTCTGTTGACAGAGAATTCTAGCATTCGTTAGGGAAGTTTCTGTTACATATGCCGAACTATATGCTCATCAACAATTAGCTATAGAAAGAGTTTTGGAGAATCTAAGCTTTGTAGCTTTTTCTCTTCCCTTTTCTGCTTCACTATACTCTATGAAGCAATACCTGTGACAACACCTTGTAAACTGGAAAACACTAAACAGACGTAAAGGAATGTTGCAAAGTATACCCTATTCACTGAACTTTTAACTTTGAACCCTACATACCTGCTTCCTCCCACACTCCACTTCCAGTTCCATTTTGGGAGGAAATATCAGGGAGCTTGAGTTTTTCCCAGAATTGGGGGGTGGAGCTAATTCTAGATTCTTTATGCTTTATTTTGTTTTTTTAGGATTCTTTCGTTTACTAGTACATAGGGTAGCCATGAGTCAGAACTGACTCGACAGCACCTAACAAGTATAGTACTCAGCTTTTCATTCTTTATTTTTGAGTTACATTTACAGTACAACAGATAAGGGGAAAAGTTTATAAAAGTATAATCTCTTACTCTCTTAATTGGAGGATCCACAGTAAGTCAAAAGCATTAGCGACTTTAGAGTACACCCTGCCCGGGGGATGGAGTGAACCCATTGGATGCTCCAGGCCTTACCTTCAGGAGGCCTGCAGTGCTACCCCCAGTAATGTGAATGGTGGACCTGCCCCTGGGAATAACTACTGTCATCCTCGGAGCATCACACCACCCTATTCTTTACATTGTACAAGATAGTTCGCAACATTCAATTTGTGAATACCTAAACTCAGTGATTGGAGACAGAAAAGTAAAACAGGTATAAGCCTTTATACTGAGAGTTTTCCAAATGGAATTTTCCCGAGTTTTTCCCCCTTGAAAATGAAACAAAGGCCATGCTGACATGTTGAAATTTCAGGTAGCAACTATGCTCTTGGCTCAAAGTAAATAACACATCAAAAATAACTTAGCATAATCTAGCCAAAAGAATGTTCTGGTTTATTAAACTTATCTGTCTAAGTAATAAGGTAATTGAACCACTAATAATTAGAGTCCCACTCGCTCTTCTGTCTGGATCTTAGAAGGAAACAAAACAATGAGAAGTCAGTCTCTCTCATTCCTGATGGAACAGCCTTGAGGGAGAGGGACTAGTAAGCAGTTGGCCTTGTGCTGATGAATAGGGGCTTAGAGGTAAAGAAAGGAGTGCTTCGAAGGGTTTTGAGCCCTGGCTACGGGCCAGGACTGTTTCCCTTGGTTTTACATCAATTCTGATTAAATGAAACTCAGCCCTACCCATCCAGTCCCCTTCGGGATGGCAATGATGGGGACCTTCACAGCTGACCATTGGTCCAGGAGGAGCCATTACACATCAATATCACATCGTCTGCATCCTGAGAGGAGTAAAAACACTAAAGACTGGAAATTGTTTACTTATTCTGCAAGTAGACCAAGTAGATTCAAGGCTTACTTTAGGATACCGCCACTCACTAACAATACAATATGCAGTAAAAGGGGTGGAATTTCACAACTTAGCCAAGACTTGCCCGTATTACAGTATGTCTGACCTATTAAATTTGGATATGACCAGAGGAGTATTCTTCCACACATTACAGCAGATGTGTTGGGGAGGGAGGAGGTTGAAAACCATTACTGTAACCGGCATTTTCCAGATTTATTTAGTAGATTTGCTTAAATTTCTGCAAAGGTGCCTCAGAAGCCACCTAGGTTTCTCACATCTAGTAAGACTTTGTTTTGTTGAGATATGATATCCCCTCAGGCCACTTTCTGACAAACTTATTCAGATGGCTATTTGACCAACTGCACCTTCACGACCAAGCTCTCATCTCCTCACAGGTGGAACCAGAGACCCGGGCTGTGATCCAATGGATACGCTCCTTCAACTTTGTTCTTTCTGCCAATCTCCACGGAGGGGCAGTGGTGGCCAATTACCCTTATGACAAGTCCCTTGAGCATCGGGTCCGAGGTTTCCGCCGCACTGCCAATACCCCCACGCCTGATGACAAGCTTTTCCAGAAGGTATGCAGAATAGCAGTTTGCCCACCCATGGGAGGTATCATCAGAGGAACTTGGGATTGAGAAGATGTGCTTTCAAGTCAGTAACACAAGATACTATTAGAGAAGAGTCCACACAAAAAAAAAAAAATGAAAATACTGCCTTCTTATTAGGAGCTTACAACCAAGTAAATTATATTAAATTATATATATATAAAA